ATATATATTGTGTGTGTGTGTGTTGAGAGATGAGAGAGATGACAGAATCTGCCAAATACTCTCAGATCGTCAGCTAAATACTGTTGATCTCAGTTGGTTTTCCTTCGCACATGTGATTTGAGCTTTTGTAGTCTTCAGATCCTGTATTTACAGCCAGTTGAGTCAATGAAACAGGAGTCGGTGCACCTGAGTTGCCCAAAGGTGCTATGTGTACAAAAAGACAGAGACATTCATTATAAAGGGCTGACATTAAATACTTTTGGGAAATGTAAAGCACATATCCTGCTGTGTGACATGATAAAGTAGTTCTCCAACTTTTTGACTCAAAGTTCCCTGATTATCTATTACTAAACATGACTTTTCAGATTCTTTTGTGATTTTAACTGGATTTTTAAAAACCATTTCATCCTCATGAAACATTTTTAGACATGCCATTGTTTACCATTGATTTATTAAAACGTATTTGTGTACATGATTAACAGGGACATTCTACCAGAAATGTACATCCCCGACAGAAAAACTTAAATACAGTAAATAAAAAGTATTTAATTCCAAAAATTTCTAAAATAGACTGATGGTTGATTTTTGTGAGTTGTTCTGTAAAGGAATATGTCATTCATTTGGTTCTCAGATTTTTGTTCTTTATTAAAACACTTTACACTGTACAAAATTCTGTTGTTGTCCTGTTCCTCATCTTATAATCTTAATAATCTTATTAGATAACTATTAAAGTTATCTAATACTTAAATAGTTTTTTATGCTATAAACTGTTAATTAGAAAGAAAATACTTCAGAAATAGCAAAGTTGAAGTTGTTATCATTCACATAAAATGATTAAAAACTTAAAACTATAAATAAATGCTTCAAATATATAATACCAATAAATGTTCAATTGTCCCAGTGTTTCTGTCAGTCTTGTCACATTTGTATTAAAGTTAACAAAAATGCATGCATCACACATTTAGGCTATGACTCTGATGTGACATCATTTGATAAAGAAGAAGCTGACAGTGATCAAGGATGCATTTTATCATTGATTTGTATAATTTTATGCATGTTTTTGTATGATTTTTTGAGGAAGACAAGCTAAATGTCAGGCCCGGTCACGTTTTGTATAAGTGAAAATATATTGGTTACATCATACTCAACATCCAGGACATTTCAGAAGTTTTAACACTCTTTTTAAAAGATTTTGATTGTTTGTAATTAAGCTGCCATGTAGCTATAAATACAAGGAAAACATTTTCATTTATTAAGATACATTTTATTACTATAAAAGAATTTGATTAAAATTGAGTTCATGGTTTTAGCTTGAATTTAACTTTAGCTAACTTAAAACACTGATGCTTTCATAATGTAGTGTGTATTCAAGTTTCAGGCCCTACATAACCATTTTTCAATAAAATGCTATAATAAAAAAAAATGCAGTCACTTGGTGTAAAAGTTAATTGTTTTATGCTTTGGGGACATAAAATAGATAATAGATAGCATATGGTATTATTAGATTATACACAAGCATACCCTGGAAGATATGATTTGCAGGTCTGGTAACCGAAGTCTTTCCCATCACACTCCTCTACACCCTCGTTACGATATCCATCACCACAGTATGCTTTTTTACAACCTACACACACACACACACACACACACACACACACACACACACACACACACACACACACACACACACACACACACACACACACACACACACACACACACACACACACACACACACACACACACCACACCACACACACACACACACAAAGAACAGGAAAGAGACAAAAGAGGAATGAGTGAAAACAGACGGATGTGAGAAAATTATCAGCACACTAAAACAACAAGATAGACAAGATAGACAGTGCTGCTTTTGCAGTGTAAAACTTTGCAATCGAAGTCTCTACATCATCAAAACAAGTAATTTAAAACCATTTATATATTTGGGCTTAAAACATACAAGAGGTTGGAATACCCAGCTTAATCTCATTAGAAAACATAACTATTTAACATTTTGTTAGTTTAGTGACTAATTTGTTTACAAATTGATACCAGTTCAGTCAAATGAAAATGTCAAAGTTTTAAAAAGGAGCCCTGCCACCAAACTCTGTCCCTAAACCTAACCATCACTGAGAGATGAACACATTGTGCAAATGAGATCATACAAATTCATTTAAATGATATTAATTATATTAAAAAGTATAATATAAATTAAAAAGTTACTAATTGCTATGAAAAAATGTTGGAATACAACTTATTTAACTTGGAACTAAAGCACCATTTCTATTTCACATGTTCAAGATAACAAAAATGTCACTTCCTGGGAAACTGGCTCAAACTGTTAATGAAACTGGAATTTGATACAACATATGAAACCACTGAAGTGCGTCATTCCTACATTAAAAGATATGTGTAGGACACATCAAATTACAAACTCTAAAACAATATCTTGTGTTTGATATGTTTTTTGGAAAGACCTTGACAGATTTAAAGTCTTTCAAACCCATTTATTTGATAGATTTTTTATTAATTTTGAATTTTGCTCAAGCATTTCAAGACTAGAACAACATTTGAGATTGTGTGCAATGTTAACCACTGGTTATTCCAATTATCCAATCACATGATTTGTTGCAGTCATTTTTTTTTCAAGGAATTTAATAACTCAATTGAGCACACAAGTATTTTATTCAAATATTACTTTATACGCACCTTGACATTTCCATCAATCATTTTGAAAGATTTCAGATTTATTTTTGACATTTTTGCCTTTATATTTATAGGACAGTAGATACTGAAGTCAGAGAGAGGGTTACGGGATTGGGAGTGGTCGGGACTCAAACTCGGGTTGCCTGCAGTGAACTTGTGATATTTGTCATAGACTGACCACTAGGCTGGTGGCAACGATGCCATTCACAATTTTTATGTAATATCTCAAAATGTGAACATAAGTATGTGAAAGAGCATTGCTTCTTATTAGTTACAGTCAAAGCAATCTCAGTGCAATAGGTTATATGCAGAGCTAGTGTTTCTTCCCTTAGCGATAAACTTCCGGTGAACGGTTAATGTGACTTTTTATCAGTTTTATACAGTTTCTTTTACAGCATGGATGTTGTACTGCAATTAGAATACAATCAGTTAAACAGACTTCAGAATTTATTTAGTTGTTCAAGCATAAAACGAGATGAAAGCTGTTTAACACACACATGCCCATTAGTATCAGTATGCGAGCACAGAAACACCATTGAAAAAACTGGAGTAAAATAAATGTTCCTATTTTAAAGACATGGGCCAGGAAAATGTCATTTAATGCAGTGCTTCTTGTACTTTCTGAGACCCAATTTATATCATATCTCAATCAAGCAGTGGAGATTGTTGATTTTTCGAGACACGTCGATTTTGTAAATGCACACAGTTTATCACAAGCTCTTGACTCTAGTTACTGCAAAATTAAAAGTCATCCTGCATACTTCTGCATATACCCTATACAGAATGTTTTCATTTAATAGCTATTTTGTATTTGTACAATCTCATCCATACATTTTAGTACATTTTGCTCATCCCCCAATGAGGTGTAGGTTTACAGGTGGGTATGCCTCCTTTTAAATTAAGTTTTCACACGAATGAAATGATATGAATTTGTTCGAATTAGCCACTTTTCTGACAGAATGTAAACTGTTATATTTGCTCGTAAGATCAGGCTGGTTATAGTATGTCATTGTTTGTTGGATGGTGTAACTCACCTATGCAGTCATCTGTAACAACCCTATTTCCATCGTCACATTCCTCACCATTGAGTTCCTGCACATCTCCATCACCACAAACTCCATTCCCATCCCTCATTCTCTCAGTCGCCTGGAGCGGCATCAGCTAAATGACAAACAGAAGGTCATTTTCGCAAAATGCCAGTATATCAGCATGTTTCTTTGCATTATATTTAAAAAAGGTCCTGTACCTGAATGGGCTCCCATCCATTTTCATCTTTAAAGTAAAGCGACCTCTGATCTTTTCTAAAGGCGAGTGCATTATTTTCATGGAGACCTTTTAGCTCTTCCTCACTACCCACAACAAATATCTAAACAGGAAGATCAGGAAACAAAATGATTAAGATGCAGATATGAAACCTTATTGATTCTGTTGCAAACAGGCAAAGTAAATTTGATCTTCAAGTTGGATGGGAACAATGTGTACTATCTAAGGCAGGGAATGTACCCAGAGTCATATTAAAAGCCAAAAAGCTGGACTTCTTCACAAATCATGTCTTAAGAAAATTCTGAATATAGTTTTCTGTAAGGACTAGGTTAAGATGTTAAACCGTTTACAGTTTTTCAAGGAAAATGAATAAATGAATGCATTGTGATTAATCTAAATGAAGCAAACAAGAAAACTGTAGTGCGGGATATGATTTTGCAATCTGGAATTATTATATTAATCGCTATTGATCAGTATCACTTGATTGACAGATTGTCCTACCCTCATGTTGATTTGTAAATGAGTTAATGATGAGCAAATGATGAGCAAAAATGAGCAAAATAAATAAATATATAATTAAATTAAATAAAAACGAAGAGCAGATAAATAATTTACATTAAAGGGAGAGATCACCACAAAATGAAAAATCTGTCAAAACAGTGCATCCGGAAAGTATTCATAGCGCTTTACTTTTTCCACATTTTTTTATGTTACAGCCTTATTCCAAAATGGATTAAATTAATCAATTTCCTGAAAATTCTACACACAACAACCCATAATGACAATGTGAAAAAATAATTTTTTAAATTGTTGCAAATTTATTAAAAATAAAAAACCTGAAAAATCCAGCCTGATCTCACGAGAAAACGTAAGTATTTTACGTTTTGCCAGTTTAGTGGCTAATTCGTACGAATTCGTATGAGTTCAGTTTTATGAAATTGTACGATTTTAAAAAGGAGGCGTGGCACCTAACCCCACCCCTAAACCCAACCGTCATTGGGGGATGAGCAAGTCGTACTAAATTGTACGAATTAGATCGTACGAATTCATACGAATTAGCCACTAAATCAAAAAGTTATTAATTGCGTGAGATTGTGTTGGAAAAATCACATGTGCATAAGTATTCACAGGCTTTGATCAATACTGTGTTGATTCTCCATTGGCAGCAATTACAGTCTCAGGTTGGATGGGAAGCAACGGTGTACTGCATTTTTCAGATCTCTCCAGAGATGTTTAATAGGATTTACATCTTGGCTCTGGCTGGGCCACTTAAGGACATTCACAGAGTTGTTGTGAAGCCACTCTATTAATATTTTGGTGGTGTGGGTCATTGTCCTGCTGGAAGATGAACCGTCGCCCTAGTCTAAGGTCAAGTTCACTCTGAAGCAGGTTTTCATTCAGGGTGTCTCTGTACATTGCTGCATTCATCTTTCCCTTTATCCTGACTAGTCTTCCACTTCCTGCTGCTGAAAATCATCCCAACAGCATGATGCTACCACCACCATGCTTCACTGTAGGGATGGTATTAGCCTGGTAATGAACTGTCCCTGGTTTTCTCCACACGTCACGCCTGGCATTTACCCCAAGAGTTTGATTAAAGTCTTATCAGACCAGGGAATTTTGTTTCTTATGGTCTGAATCTTATGGTCTGGTGCCTTTTGGCAAATTCCAGGTGGGGAGTGGCTTCAGTCTGGCCACTCTAACTACAGGCCTAATTGGTGAATTGCTGCAGAGATGGTTGTCCTTCTGTAAGGTTCTTCTCTCCCCACGGAAGAATGCTGGAGCTCAGACAGAGTGACCATCGGGTTATAATTACCTTCCTGACTAAGGCCCTTCTCCCTCAATCACTCAGCATAGATGGCCAACCAGCTCTAAGAAGAGTTCTGGGGGTTCCAAACATCTTCCACTTCCGGATGATGAAGGTCACTGTGCTCATTGGAACTTTCAGAACAGCAGACATTTTACTGTAACCTTCCCCAGCCTTGTTCCTTGAAAAAATCACGTCTCGGAGGTCTACAGACAATTACTTTTCCTGGATGCACTGTATTTACTCACCATCCACTTGGTCCAAACTTGTCAGAATTTATTTCTTAGGTAGATCACAAAAGTACATATGAAGAGTTCAGATGCAAAAACCTCTAAGTGCATCTGAAATTTTCTTCTAATGTAAGCATTTTTCTCAGACTCCTATGTCTTGATTCAGGAATTTCACTTTTATGACAAAGAATAGGTTATTTTCATCACTTTTGACATGAAATTACTGAACAAAAGCATGATGAGAAAAATGCTGAATGTGGAAGAAAATTATAGATGGCACTTTATATATTCCAGAATGTTGGAAAACAGCAGCTGCTGACTTACAAAGTATTTTTTGTTCCTACAATGGAAGAAGATGACTGCTGGTTAACAACATTCTTCAAAATATCTTACTTGAAATGTATCTTACATCTTAAATGTAGCAAAGTGTTATTAAATATAAGAACATTGACTGTTGATATTGATTTCATGGTGACTTTGAAATGTCAAAATAAACTGACACATTTATACAATGTTTATTGGTAACAACTTATCTCTACAATCCATTCTAAAGTAAATATGGTTTGTTATTTAGTACAAAAGTAATACAATTATTGTTCAATCAATCAAACAATATTAACTTGAATAAACTTGAATTTAGCTGTGATTCGTTCTGGCACGTAGTGCTGGCTAAAATCCATATTAACAAACAAACAATAGACGTGAATGGAAAGTCATCAGCATGAAAGTGAAAGAGTGTTGGGCTTACTGCTGGAACTTTGCCATATTTATTCCGGTGTTGTAAGGGGGCACTGGCTGGGCTGAGAGAAGGGAAGCTGCAGTCACAGACTCCAGGAGGACCAGGCAATCCCATTTCACCTTTTTCCCCAACTACAAACAGCCCTGTACATTATGAGACATCAGGAAACAAAAGCAAACAGATCGCACATAGATTAGTAACGCAACCATTTAAAAAAATATCATTTGAAAGACTGGAATGTGCAAAAACTGGTCTCCCTGAAGAAAGCGAATTTTCACAAAACTTTCCTTTGTATACAGACTTCCACTAAGGTCATTGTGAGCTCTCTCAGTATGTGTGTACATGGTATCCTGTACATTAGAAGGACCCACAAGTATAGTAATTCCAGTCAGTTCTGACTTTGTGGGGGTTTTTTTCTGGCCCCCAAGAGAAAAACAGCTATCATAGCTAAATCAGCTAAATCATACAGAATGAAGAAATTTTGGAAATGTAAAAAGGCAGAATGTTTTTCAAGGGTTTCAAAATAACATATGATTATGATTAATATAAGAGCTTACAAATAAATGTTTAACTCTAAATATACAGCTATACAACTGTGTGTGTCTGTGTAATTATTAAATCTCCTTACTTACATAATGAAATATGAAGACAACTGAGGAAATTTTATCTTTGAAAGGCTAATCGTCCATATATATCATGTTTATGTTTTGTGATATATAGAAAATTATTGCAAATAACCTGCTATAAAATCTAATAATCTAAATAAAAAAGTGTTTACAACGTTCTTGTTAATATAGTGAAGCACCTGCTAGTAGTGTGTGAGAGTGTGTATGGGCTATCATACCTGATGCTGGTACTCCAGGAGGTCCAGGGTGGCCCCTGGGTCCAGGTGGACCTATGGGACCCACTGGCCCTGAGAAACCTCTCTCTCCGTCAGCCCCCTATGCCACAGAATGCAAACATAATTCAGCTGATTCATCGCACTACTGTTAAAACATTCAGCTAAATATGATTTTCAATATGAAAATATGAAGTTTTTTCTGCATTTATTTGATCAAAAGTACTACAAACACCAATACTGATATTGATATTATCGGAATTTCAAATGACCATTTTCAAATGAAACATATTTCTTTCTGTGATTCAAAGAGTCATTTTCAGCATCAGTTAATTCAGTTTTTATAAGCACATAATATATATGAAATCTGCTATATGTGCAAATTTTTTGCTCAAGTGTTATGAATAATAATGAACACAATTGAGCTGTTTAAAGACACAATATGTATATAAAAAATTTAATGCCTATGTTGTGCTCATCTGTCATTAGCAATTGCTACAGCAGTCTTATTTGGTTTTAACAGCTTTCAGCCTTACTTTATTTCATAATACTATGATAATGTACACTCACTGGCCACTTTATTATGTACACCTTACTTTGGACCCCCTTTTGCTTTCAAAACTGCCTTAGTCCTTCGTGGCAGATACTAAAAATGTTCCTGAGATTTTGGTCCATATTAAAACGATAGCAACACGCAGTTGATTCAGATTTGTCGGCTGCACATCCATAATGTGTATCTCCCATTTCACCACATCCTATGAGTGCTCGATTGGATTGAGTTCTGGTGACTGTGGAGGCCATTTGAGTACAGTGAACTCATTGACTACGTTTACATGGACATCAGCAATCGAATTATTTTCTTTAATCTAATTAAGAGAATAATAAGACTAAGGTGTTTGCATGAGTTGCTTTTTGAATATTACTTTCTTGATTCCATTTACATGTTATAGCACATAATTCGATTAATGTCATTGCGTCACTGCGCTATCTACATTTCCTCCGGAATTTTATGTAATTTCGGGTGTTACATTTTTAAATTGTCGACTTTAACTGCAGTTTGGTACTTTCACTTTCAATCACAAACATTTCATGCACGCTCTCCATGACAAACGACATATTGGATGCAACTATTAATGTAAGTTCATACCGCATGCTGAATGGAAGAAAAAACCTCTGCGTTTCACAATGCAGGAGTCTGTGTTCTGCACTGACTGGGTAGGTGCAAAGAGTGTGTGTGTGTATGTGTGTGTGTGTGTGTGTGTGTGTGTGTGTGTGTGTGTGTGTGTGTGTGTGGACTATCTTGTCGCAAAAAAGTCCTGTCGCTGCGAAAAGTCCTACATGACAGTAATAATTCGATTAAGGTGCTCACATGTCTGTATTGCACTTCAATAATGTGACTAAAATCGACATACTCTACATATCTTAATTCGATTTCTCTTCAGTTCGATTATGACCTTAATCTGATTAAATTAATCAAAAATTGCTGTTTACATGGTTAACTCTTATTTAGAGTACTGTCTTAATCACATTAAAATCAAATTATTGGTGTCCATGTAAATGTAGTCAGTCATTGTAATGTTCAGTTTGGAAGGATTCGAGATGACATAGCGCGTTATGCTTCTGGAAGTAGCCATCAGAATCTGGGTACACTGTGGTCATGAAGGGATGGACATGGTCAGCAACAATACTCAGGTTGGCTGTGGCGTTGACACAATGCTTAGTTGGTACTAATGGGCCCAAAATGTACCAAGAAATAACCCTCAAAACATTACCCCGCCACCCTTAGCCTGAACAGTTGATACAAGGCAGGATGGTTCCATGTTTTCATGATGTTGATGCCAAATTCTGACCCTACTATCCGAATGTCACAGTAGAAATCGAGACTCATCAGATCAGTCAACATTTTCCCAATCTTGTAATGTCCAATTTTGGTGACCCTGTGCGAATTGTAGCTTCAGTTTCCTCTTCTTAGCTGACAGGAGTGGCACCCAATGTGGTCCTCTGCTGCAGCCGAGCCTCAAGGTTTGACGTGTTGTGCATTCAGAAATGCTCTTCTGCATACCTTGGTTGCAAAGAGTGTTATTTTGAGATACTTTTCCTATTCTATTAGCTCAAACCAGTCTGGCCATTCTCCTCTGACCTCTGGCATCAACAAGGCATTTGCACCCACTGAATCCTGGCTGCCCTAGGAGGTGTGTTTGTGTGTTTCCCCCACAGTCGAAAGACGTTCGGAAGTGAATTGATTAGGTAAACAAAATTGACCTTGGTAAATGAATGTGTGTGTGAACAAGAGAGTGTATGGGTGTTACGTAGTGTTGAGTTGCGACTAGAAGGGCATCTGCTGCATAAAGCATATGCCAGAGTAATTGAGGGTTCATTCCACTGTGATTAATGAGTGAATTTTTGAATAGAAAGTTGAAAACAACAACAGCATTCAACATTGTGATATACTTATATATACTATAAAATAAAACAAATCTTACTGACACCAAACCAAACGGTTGTGTATGTATACAGTATATAGCAGAATGCTAGGAGCTTGTGTTGAAATGACATTCAAGTCTGAGGTCTGCACAGTGATCTTACATGTGTATTTGTTAAAGCATTTGCTTGATTGATAGTAGGAATCTTAAGCCTACGGTAACAGCACTGGTATTTCCCAGCAGTTAGTAAAGACATTCCCAGGAAGTGCCTCTCCACTCCTTAGTGTAATACAAGAGCTCGGAAACTTGAGCGGCAGGGCTGGATCTAACATCAGAGGCCCTGCTGGTCCAAATCCAACCACCAGCATGAAATGCTTACGAAATGACATTCCTACTCATATAGTCACAAACTGACCCGCTGACTGAGGCAGACAGGTTAACAGTGATGTGTGTATGTGGGTTTTAAATCTGACCGAGGCTACTTCTGTTAATGGTCCACCATCTAATCGTCACTTTGAGTCTCAATATCAAAACCAAGCAGTAGAGCTCTGATGTGGCGTATTGCGTGTGTCATCACCTGTTTGCCTCGCTTGCCAGGTCGTCCTGTAGGGCCACGTTTCCCTGACACACCAGACTCACCCTTGGGTCCCATTTCACCCTGGGGAAGTGACGAACAGGGGGAGGTTAAAAGAGAAGGAGGGAATCACATGCATAGGATTGATTTTAATGGTTAAAATGTCACATTTACCTTCTGTCCCAGCATCCCTGGCAGTCCAGTAGCTCCCTGAAGAAAGCAGACCAGACATGCAGTGATTATAAATGCATGTTTACAATTAAAATCTAAATAACAATGTTTAAGAGAGGACAGCAATTTTGTTTTTTTGTTTTTTGTTTTTTTTATGTTTATTTATGTGCTTTATGCATTTTATAAAACTACAAAAATATAGAAAAGAGAGAGAGAAACATTACAATAAATTATTAATACATATAAAATACAATACATAAAAACACTAACCTATGACAGAACAACTGAACAACAGAACACAGAGGGACAAAGGCACATGAACGCAAAATATAATTTAGCTGGTCAGGTAATGCATAAATAAAAATAATTATAAAGTAATATTGTTTTTGTATTACCAAGATAAAAATTATTTTATTTTTACACATTATTAAAAACATTATAGATTATGAATAGTGAACATCAATTACACTCAATCTTTAATTACTGTTACTGACAGGGGTCACTGGTTATGCTTGCATTTCTTCCAATGCATTAAGGTGCTCTAATATCTGTAGAATTATATGGTTCTATCTGACATTTTTAGTCAAAAATGAGTTATTGACATATTCTTATTAATTGACAACTTATTTACATTATGGGATGTTTTTTATAAGTTGTTTACATTTTAAAACTTGCTACACCAAGAATGCAAAAACTTTAAAGCTCAATATCTCAAAATTATTTAGAACGTCGATAGACCCTTATAATTTCCAGGTAATGAAATATCTCCAATTTATCATTATTGACTTATCTCAACCTCTCTAAAGCAAGCATGTTTATGATATCTCTACCCCTCACACCAAATTTAGGTACAGATTTATTTTTCCATATTCTCAAAACCACCATTTTGGCTATTACCATACCAACAAATGTTAATAATAAATGTTTACAAAGCAATGTAATATTTTCGAAAATCATTATCGCAATTATATATATATATATATATATACATACAGTTTAAGTCAGAATTATTAGTCCCCCTTTGATTCTTTTTTCTTTTTTAAATATTTCTCCAATGATGTTTAACAAAGCGAGGAAATAATGTCTGATAATATTTTTTCTTCTGGAAAAATTTTTTGTTTGTTTTATTTCGGATAGAATAAAAGCAGTTTTAAATTTTTTATGAACCATTTTAAGGTCAAAATTATTAGCCCCTTTAAGCAATTTTTTTTTCGGTAGACAGAACAAACCATAGTTATACAATAACTTGCCTAATTACCCTAACCTGCCTAGTTACCCTTATTAACCTAGTTAAGCCTTTAAATGTCACTTTAAGCTGTATTGAAGTGTCTCAAAAAATATCTAGTAAAATATAAATTACTGTTGTCATGGCAAAGATAAAAAAAAAATTTGTTATTAGAAATTAGTTATTAAAACTATTATAATTAGAAATGTGCTGGAAAAAAGCTTCTTTCTTTTAAACAGAAATTGGGGGATAAATAAACAGGGGGCTAATCATTCAGGGGGGCTAATAATTCTAACTTCAACTATATACTGTATATCCATGTTTATTATCAGATGGCTAGAATGGCAAATTTTTTTATAAATTAATATTAGAAATATTTGTGTCTGAGATGGAGCAAGCCCAGAGATTGTTGTGTCCACCATGATTTTATATAGAATTCACTTTAATGTGTGATATAACTAAAAACTACTTTTTTCATTTATAAATCTTCATTTTTGCATCAATAAAATAAATCCATATGAACTGAAGCTGCGCTAATTATTTTCTTTATTCTCTATTTCCTCCAGGGGATACTCATTCCGAGGCCCCCAGATATTATACAGCGCCAATGATGTGACAGTATCCTGAGCTGTCTTCAAGGATCTAAAAGCTGTGGTACAATCAATGACAAAATATGCATTTAGAAGATATGAAACTGGTTTCAACATGTATAGCTTGTAATTTGCCACTTCCGCTTAAATAAATCAACATTTTTTTCACATCACCTCAAACTTTCACGTCATAGTTTCTCATCAAATCTTGACCAATCAAATGCTCTCTTGTATCTGACATGCCTCGCCCCGTGGTTGCTAGGTTGCTTAATTTTTTACATATGAGTATCTGGTTGCTAGGGATTCTGTGTTTCAAAATATTCTGATTCTCTGTGTTTTTAATATATTTTAATGGGTTTGTGCTCTTAATTTTGGGTGGCTGTTAACATTACATTTTAGTTGTTGTTGTTTGGTTTTGGGGTATTTTAAATAGGTGTGGGTTGTGTTTTCAGTGTGTTGCTTTTTGCTTGATAAGGTAAACTGGATTGTTACTAGGTAGTTGTTAGCACGTTCTAAGGATTATAATGTGCTATTTGGCTGCAAGTATTTTAAATTACTTAAATGTTTTTGAGTGGGTTTTGTTGGTTGCTGATGCTACTGTGGGTGTCTTATAAATATTTTAATATTTTGCTGTTTTGGTCCTGGGATGTTTTGTGCGGCTCTTCACACTAGCCACTAATCACTAACCTTGTCTCCCTTTGGACCTGCAGGTCCAAAATCCCCACGTGCACCCTGAAACCATTAGATTAAGTTTAGAAAATCGTCATTTAGAGTCATTTAGAGACCAATACTTTACACATTTTTACTCAGTTTAAGTATAAAAGACAAATTGTACCTTCTCTCCTTTGTACCCTGCCAAGCCCTAATGGGACAGAGAAGAATACATTATGCATTATTTTTTTATCTGAGGATTATTTTCTCAGTAAGAGAGGTAGGCAATAAACATCAAAATAAAACATTAAAATTTTTCACAAGTTCACCTCGTTCACACCAAGAATATTAACCATAAAGATAACATCAGCACTCAATGTTGTTTAATAACTATTAACAAAACTTTGTTAAAAAGTTCACTCTCAGGATTCAAAAATCAGGATCCTGATTGACTGTTTTTAATCATCCAGAAAAAAAATTCTGAAAGGGATTCCAATGATAGTGTTCCTCTTTGTGATTATTGCTGTAGTGGTGGATAAAAGCCATTTTTCCATTTTTGAAAACTATGTTAAAGCTACATTTTTTGTCCATTATAATTATGGCCTTGGTGTGAATGGCCTTTTTTCACCTGGAGAAAGTGACTTACTTTAGGTCCAACTGGTCCTCTCATTCCTGGCATTCCCATCAGTCCTGGGTCACCTTTCTCTCCCTGCCAATGAGGTCATATATAAACAGTAAATAGGGCTTCAGTGAGCTATTATTAGATCTATTTAGGTCCATTTCTCTTGATGGAAAAGGCAGTCAAGAGTGACACTTGCTTTCTGACTGACTTAGTAGTAACAGTAGCTATATTAAAACAGTAACGAAAGAGCACTCATTTAGTATAGACTTTGTTAAGAAGTTTTTGAATTTGGTTAGTGCATTATGTGACTTAATTTACACAGGTCAAATGGAGTGTGGATGTAAAACTCACCCACCTTAGGTCCCTCTGGGCCCGGAAGCCCTGCAGAACCTGGTTTTCCAGGCAGACCTGGACGGCCGGTACGACCCTATAATGACAAAGTGAAGAAATATGCGCTAGTTGGCTTTTATCCACAGAAACCCAGGCAGATCTGGCAGCGTGGTCGATGTGCTGAGTGTTCAGAGCAGCTTTAATCAAAGACAAAGCACCTACTCAGCATCCCTGCCTCTCGACAGTCCTCTTCAATCCTTTAAAACATCAGCCTATCTAATCTTTTTGTGTCTTTTTTACTGCCTTCCAGGTTCCTTAAAGCCTCACTTTCTTTTGCTTTTAATGCTCAGTTTTGTATCTAACTCAGCAAACAAATAAAGAAATGTTTAAGTAAAATATTTAAGCAACCTTACAACTAATTTTGTTACTTGAAAAGTAGCTTGCTAGTTAAAGACACAGTAGGTGAATGTTTTCAGAAACATTTCATGTTGTGCTCTTCACATTTTAATAGTAAAAATTAAAGTAAATCATCTAAATGTTCTTATATGTATTTTTATATTGTGGGTACAGTCTTTCAAGCAGATTCAACGTTTGCATGTGCCTGAGCACCGTGATCATGTGGACATAAGACAGAGAGTGACAGTGGTGAAAACAAACCCTGAATCAAAACTTTAAAATGCTAAAGTTACTTTTGCATGTTGGATAAAGGATAAAACCACAGCTGAAGTATATCTTTTAGACAGGTGATGTTATGTAGTAAAACTATTTTAGTCACCTAAGCTGATGTAGATTGTGTTGTTTTAAGAATGGGTAATGTGCACGGGAGTGTTGTTCAGCCACTAAAATTTTCTGGCAAAAGTTTAATCTAACTATTTTCGGTTTCATAAGGGACCTTTTACAGCATCAATAATGTAGATTTTTATTAAGTTTAACAACAAAACAACAGTAAATAGTGCTATTCCGCCTTTATTGCTTTATTGAGGTGAAGTTGCTTTTATATTCACATTGGTTCATTTTTTAACAATAGCAGCCTGTGATGTATTGTAAAAGATTATTGCAAAGAGAAGCGTTCTGGATTCATGAATGAAAGTCACTTGCACCAAAAGGAATGAATGAGGAGTTGGATCTGTCTGCGTTTCTTTAACAAGTCTGTTATTTAATTGATATAAGGAATTATAAATCTTGAACTTTAAAGTTGTTGACACAAATAAAAAATGGATTTTTAAAAATGTTTTTGAACTTCGGAATAAAGTAGATAAAAATGGGAGAATAATGATAATTGATAGGTTTCTTGTGAAAATGTTTTTGGAGGTAAGGGTATTTTTCTTGTGGTTGATCATAATATATTGAAGTGAAACAGAAACTATTGGTCAACATGGTGATAATTGATATGCTGTTTTGTTTTGTTTTGTTTTGTTTTTTTGTGAAATGTTTTTGTGGATAAAGCTATTTTTCGAGAGGTTAATAATGATGTACTGTAATGGAAAAGAGAATGTTGTCTTATGTAGTAATGTTCTTTGAAGGTAAAGGTATTTTTTTGTATGTTTCACAAATTGTTTTTGAAGATGAGGGTAAATGTCTCTTGTATAATTGGTTATGTGGGTAGAGGTGAAGGTAAGATTTGTGTTTTTTAATCTTTAAGTAATTGTCAAATGTAAAAAAACTTTTTTTTATGTTAGCTGTCGGATTTTTATTGTATTGATGTACACCTGATTAATGATAATAGCTGATGCACTTTATCTCTGTAGATTGAGGTCGGAAATGTGAAGATTGTTTATTGTTATTGCTGTGAAGATTATAAGTTATTGTGTGATTAATGGATAATGAAATGAGAGTGACGGTCTAATTAATTGCACATTGTGATTGACTATGAGATAAAAGGGTGGAGTTAAAGAGTTGTGTCACACATTGAGGAAGGCTTTGTGCCGAAACGTCTGTCTTTTAATCACCTGTAAAATGTAAGAAAAATAAAAAATAAAAAAAGTACGAAGCAATTGAGTGCGAATCATTACCTTTTTTTGAATAATAGCATCAATAAGATTGCTACTTTGAATATTCGGTCGGAAAAAGCATGTAAGTAGTTAAGTAATAAGTGTTATTCCTGCACCCTGCCGGCCAACCACTAAACATACAGTAACATTAGTTGCTTTAGGACAAAGTACATGAAAGAGTGAGACCAGCGATCCTTGCATGCATGAAATATTGCACATTATAATAAGTTTTGGTTGCTACAACTAAAACGTACAAGATATAATACAGTTTTTCGTTCAGTTATAAAGTAAAATAAAGTTTTGTTACTGGCAAATAACATGAACTAGTTGGTTGTCTGCTGTCATCTTTAAGATGTGCGCGTTCATGATATCAGGAGGCATGACTTTGGCCGGCAGGGGAGGTGTTTTAAAGATATGATGCTAACAAAGGTGCCTGTGTTTCAAAGATATTATGCTGACCGGTTAGCATTTTGGCAGATCACCTGCTTCTTTAATAAAATAATGAGCCATTAGAGGATTTTAGGTTTTATAATAGGTAAATTGTGTTTGTAATCACAACACAACGCCTTTATTGTGATAAAATGAGTGCAATTATCGTTAATAAGTGACAAAAGTTATAAAACAGTGGCAACTGTATTGTGATAAAATACACAAATATTAAGCAAATTTTTATTTGAGGGTGAATACATTTAATAATTTTAAATATAAATAAAACGTAAATAAATATAGCCTTAGTGAGCATAAGAGACAATTTATAAAGAAAATTTCAGTGTCAGAATATTTCATTCATTCAATTTCTTTTCGGCTTAGTGCCTTTATTAATCAGGGGTTGCCACAGCGGAAGGAAATTATCCAGCATATGTTTTATGCAGCGGATGCCCTTCCAGCTGCAACCCAACACTGAGGAACAGCCATAAACTCTTCAACACACGTACACTACATACAATTTAGCTTATTCAATTCACCTTTACTGCATGTCTTTGGACTGTGACGCCCATTAGAAAATTTAATGTGTGCAAAATTTGTACTATTATATAATGTTTAATATGTATTTTTAGAATTTAATTGCACAACAATTAGGTCACTAATCAAATAACATCTGGGATACACTGACCATGCAAACTCCACTCTACATAATATACTGATTTTCCACTAACTTGAGGCTCTTAATATAACAATCATGTTTCAAGATTTTTGTTTTAACTTCGAATTTTCTGGTATGAGTTTTTTTTTACTGGAAATCAAGAAAAAAAACTTTATTCAAGAAATATTTTTAATTAAGTTTTTTATAGACCATCAAACATCCTATGCTCCAAACGCCTTCCCTTCATTTAGCTTGAGGTGCTTAAAGTTCAGTGCAATTAAATCACTGCATGAGTTTTGACTGAGAGCAGCAGTGCAGGGCTGAGATTAATGTCCGAGTTCAGCACTAAGTGATATTACAGGGCAGCAACACTGTGGACCGCAGCCAATGAAACAGCGCATGGCCTGACACCCTGTAAAACTATTACATGCACCAACAGAGCATGTCATAATTATAAACAGCATACCGGACTGCATACTGCAACCTGTCGCATTATAAACAGAGACACTGTATATGAAAGCCATCGAGTTTAAACCTAGACTTTATTAAATGAAGTCGTACATCAAATTCCATCATTGGTCTTATTAATACACAGCAATACATAAACACTTCAAAAGGCAAAAGATAAGATTCTGACCTTTGACCCTGGTCGTCCTAAATCACCCTATAAAGTGAAACAAAAAAGAATTCTTTCAGTATCATAACAGAGTATGAAGCAAATAAGTCAGTTGTTTCAGATGCTTCACCTTATCTCCCTTAGGTCCCACCATCCCGGGAATACCCCTGTCACCCTAAATCAAAGAAAAACCTTTCAATTTATTTATGAGGATATTTTATTTTATTGTCTGAGGAGGGACTTTGGATCTACCTGTGGTCCAGCAGGTCCTGGAGGTCCTGTTGGTCCCTCCACACAACGTTCTTTGATCTGCTCCTCCTCATCCTCGTCTTTCTCAATTATCCTCACCACAGGATGCGGCAAAGCCTTAAAAACCAATTAACAGCCATACTGTCATATCTTGGTGCTATAAATAAATATATTAATGTCATTCCACTCACAGGTTCCCTCTTCCAAACACCAGGAGGGGGCGGGAACAAAGGAGGTGGAGGCGGAGTCAACAGACAACAAGGGTCAAATCTGTTCAAGACATCGCTTGGATCCTGGCCTAAGAAACAAACCACACCAGATGATAAAGAGTAAGAACAGTAATTCATTTTCTTTCTGGCAGGAATACCTGAAGAGAAATAGCACTGCAGTAAAAGCTGCAGTATGTGCAGTAAGGAACAATAGTATGACTGTGTCTTGCATATTGATTGAATAAATGTATAATAGGGCTGGGCGATTGGACCTAAATTGAACATTTTAACTCGCCATTTACAATTAATGAATGATAATTTCATTTGATTATTAATTTTTCAGGATAAGTTTTGTCCAGTAAATATGCTCACATATTTATAAGTCAGAGAATTTTGAATTGATTGAAGGAAACACACACTATCTACTATCTTTGATTATTTACTTTAACGTTGAACAACTGAAATTAAAACAGGCCAAAACAAACAGTCACTCTTTCTTATAAAAAAGTGAAAATAAATAATTTGCACTTTTGGAAACAAAATTAATTATCATTATGATGTTTTTCATATTAAAAGTAGAAATCAAGCAGTCTCTTCTAAAATACATCTTGTTTATCCTGTACACTTCTTTCCAGAGTATTTATTGAATCTTTTGTAAACAAGTATTTTAATATAAAAATAATTTTATTGTAATGGAAAATATGCAGATATGCAACCGCTCAAAGCCTGCGCTGGACCACACCCTTGTGTTCGATGTAGAAGTATAAATCATTCTTAACAGAGGTAAGTGGTAGGAAAAGTAACTGAAAAAAATTGACAGGGAAAAATTTGATCGATTATAGGTTCTGAATGTCGTTTTCGATTAATCGCCCTGCCCTAGTGTACATTTGGGTGATTATATAATTGAAGATTTGCATTTCAAAAACTAAACTGTTAACTAAACGTATAACTTGCTGTAACTTACTCAGTGTATTCACTGCTTGCCAAACTCAAGTAAAACAATACACTGTTTCATCAGGTAAAATTTAAGACTTTCTAAGACCCTTTTAAGACCATTATAAATGAATGTTGCACAGGGCTAAACACTAATGATTATTTCTAATGGCCTGGTTGGGCTAATGTTTTTTTCTTTTTTTTTTTTTGGTTGCCATGAAAAAAACTTATTATTTAATGTGTCAAAACAAGAAAACTGTAGTTGTATAACAACTACTTTTAACATAATATTTCTTTCTTCTTTTTTATGACAAGTTAAAAGTATATTTATTGTGGACTGGGGTGGATTTAGTGATTTAGGGGCCCTAAGCAATTCGGGCCATGGGGTCCAAAAGTTTGTATTTTAATTTATTTTTAATTGATTTATTTTGTTGTTTTGTTTTCCTTATATCACTCAATCTCTTTTTCTATATTTTGTCATAACGCAAAAAACAACAACAAGTAAATCATCTTGTACAATTTTTTTTTAATTATTTGTTTACTTAAAATAAATTCACAGTTGAAATAATATGTAAACTATTTTTAATATTTTTAATTACGATTTAAATAAATATTTAAAATGTTTAATTACATTTTGTAAAAAACACCTAATTGGACTTCTAGACTGCTCCATGATTGAGGGTGGGGGACAAATTTGTGAAGATGTAATAAAAATTTAACTTTTATTTTTTTAGACCCTCGTCATACAAAATAGGATAGAAAATGAGTTTATATATAATTTATAGGTTTAATTTATACTTCTAGATATTTATTTGGAGGCCCTCAGATTTCCTGGGGCCCTAAGCTGTCGCTTACCTTGCCTATTGGTTAAATCCGCCCCTGATTGTGAAGGCAATTACATAAATAATTAAATACATACTGCTGAAGTCACAATTATTAGCCCCCTTTGAATTTTTTTTCTCTTTTTTAAATATTTCCCAAATGATGTTTAACAGAGCAAGAAAATTTTTACAGTATGCCTGATGATATTTTCTTCTTCTGGAGAAAGTCTTATTTGTTTTATTTCAGCTAGACTAAAAGCAGTTTTCAATTTTATTAATACCATTTCAAGTACAAAAAAATTATTAGTCCCTTTAAGGAAGATATTTTCGATAGTCTACAGAACAAACTATTATGTTTAGAATTGTGAAATCTTTTTACTGTTAAACAGAAATTGGGGGAAAAATAAACAGGAGGGCTAATAATTCAGGGGGCTAATAATTCTAATTGCAATTATATTAGTTGGCTTTTGATCTATTCAACCTAATGCGTTTCTGTTATAAAACATTAAGTTTCATGCCAATAAATATTATGTCTATACACCGCCTTACTTCTGTAAATAGTTTTTGTATGAATGAAAGATCACGTAAAGCAGGGGTGTTCACACTCGGTCCTGAAGGGCAAGTGTCCTGGAGAGTTTAGCGCCAACCCTAATCAAACACAGCTGAACAAGTTAATCAAGCTCTTATTAGGTATACTAGAAACTTCCAGGGAGGTGTGTTGAAGCAAGTTGGAGCTAAAGTCATCAGGACTGACTTTGGACACCGCAGATGTAAAGGGATACTGTTAAAGTTAGAATTATTAGCCCCTCTTTGAATTTTCTTTTCTTTTTTAATTCCAAAATAATGTTTAACAGAGCAAGGAAATTTTCATCATATGTCTGATAATATTTTTTTCTTCTGGAGAAAGTCTTGTTTGTTTTATTTCAGCTAGAATAAAAGCAGTTTTTAATTTCTTAACACCATTTTAAGGACAAAATTATTAGCCCCTTTAAGTTATATTTTTTTCCGATAGTCTAACAAACCATCGTTGTACAATAAATTGGCTAATTACCCTAACCTGCCTAGTTAACCTAATTAACGTAGTTAAGCCTTTAAATGTCACTTTAAGCTGTTTAGAAGTGTCTTGAAAAATATATAGTCAAATAATATTTACTGTCATCATGGCAAAGATAAACGAAATCAGTTATTAGAAATGACTTATTAAAACTCATTCATTCATTTTCTCACAGCAAGGCGACAGCACTACCTACTGCGCCACTGCCTCGCCGTTATTATTAAAACTACTATGTTTAAAAATGTGTTTAAAAAAACTCCTCACTCTTAAACAGAAATAAGAGAAAAATAAAGGGGGGGGGGGGGTAATAAATCTGACTTCAACTGTATATTGCTCTGTTATTATCATGAGGAACTTTGTAATTGTTTCTAGTTTTCTTTCTCTGGTTTTATTAGGATGGATTGTTGGTGATTGGATGGATATCAGTCCAATTGAGTAGCTTTACTTGGACAGAGGAAAATTAAGACCTGTTTAAAATGATTTAAGACACACAACACAATATTACAGTGACTTTAAGAGTTTATTTGTTTTTAAAATTTAAAAGTTAAAAGACCGAGTGGACACCCTTCAATAACAACAAACAACAAAAACTAATTTCTTTTACTGTCATTGCTACTTTACATAAGTAACAGAACTGACCTTTTTCCTTTTAGCTCCACTAGCTTTTCAAAACATTTGGTGCAATTTTTTCAGAGAGCACAAACAGGCTACCTTTCAGAGCTTCATATTTTATTGAGTTACAAGTGATATGGTACTGTAATAGTTTTGATACAAAATGTTTGAACAAAATGAAAAATTAAAATATATGGACATAATGGAAATGAAAAATTGTGATTTTTCAGCTATATTTAAGACACTTTTTGCATGAGTATTGTTTAGCAGAAGTATTGCAGTGGTTTCTATGGCTTATCCTAAATAAATTTAGCCTGATAAGACATACAAATAGTGACGCAGTGGCGCAGTAGGTAGTGCTGCCACCTCACAGCAAGAAGGTCACTGGGTTGCTGGTTCGAATCTCAGCTCAGTGTGTGACAAAAAGCTCTAATAGTATCTGACTGCAGATTATGCACCCCTTATTTACCAGTAGGGCAAGGTCGGGTTTAGGTGTGGGGGTAGGGTTAGGATTAGGAGGTATGGTTGGGATTAGGCAGTGAATTTAGCAAAGGGGTGCATCAATTGACAGGGGTGCATTTTATGGCACAACACCAGTGACCTCCTTTCTCTGGGGCAAACAGCCAGGATAATACTATTTGAAATATTGATTACACATTATCTGTAGTTAGAAAACGAACATTTTACTAAAGCAAATATCTACTATTCAAGACAATAACTTGTTCCCTAAATTTTTTCCAGAACTGAATTTTTATAGCCTGTTTCACTTGAATTCAAGTTAATTTGTATTTGTATAGTGCTTTTCACAATAATTATTGTTTCAAAGCAGCTTTACATAATTTCTTCATTTTGATATATTTTCCTAATTCAATAATATTATGAAATAATTTCATAATTCATCATAATTTCTAGTCCCAGACAGTAATATACAAACCAAATGAATACTTAAAACATACATAAACCAAGAGAAATTTCAAATAGCAATTGGGATGAACAGAATACACCTATCTGAATTTTATTTTTCTACAACTTTTAGCTTTCAGTGAAGCAACAACAACAAAAAACAAGACATCAAAATTTAGCTATTTGAGAGTTTCGTGATTAACATCATTGGATTTATAATTTGGATTGATTTAAATTGCTAATCTGATAATATAATGTGTAGCCTATTGACGAAATAAATTAATAAAAAATTGATGACAAAATCTTAAACGCCTATATTTACAGTACACATACGTTATTGAATTTAAATAAAAACGCAGCATATAACAAACATGTACGCAAACCACTCGCTCATGATCACAAACCGGTGTTGCTCACGTGCGCGCACACGCATTCGCGCTGTCAATCTCTCCCATAACCTACCTGTAGGAATAGGAAGGATATTATCCAGATTATACGGTGAAAGGTAGGCTGACACCGAGTAAAGCAGAAACTGCAGTTGTATCCCAGTCCTGCTCATGGCCATGGTTCATATGAGTGTGACAAAAATACGGAGATCCAAATCGGTTCCCGCCCTTTCACCGCTCAATTTTTTCTCATCCAGGTCCAAATAGCAGCAGCTCTGTCTCAGCACCCTATTTTCTGCTGTCTCGGTCACGTCTATCAATGTGGCGGTGTTATTAAGTCGTGAAAATGACTCCCACGGAGTCTGTGGGAATCTCCAGGCGAGACTGCTATTACAGTGAGAGATTTGACATCTGATCCACCCTCTGCAGCCCCTCATGCCAAGATTAGACTCCCGTACTACACTTTATGCACCACCAACAAACTAACCGGATAGAATTCAGGGGAAGCATGTGATGGACAAGCTGTTCCCGAGATATTTGGAAAACAAAGTTTGTCAAGAAAAGAACATTTTAATTTTCAAAATTTTAGCATTATTAATCTGTTTCGCCATTCTAATAAGGTTATTTGGTGCTCAAAACATTTCTTAAAAAAATTTTTTTTTAGTCATGCAGAAAGCTGCTTTGAATATTTTGATGGAAATTCTGATATATTTACCAAAATTATTTGATGAATAGAAAATTTAAATGGGCAGCATTTATCAAAAATATAAATCTTTTGTAGATAATAAATGTCTCAGAGTAAAAAATAAATGCTACAAAACCATGTTTTCTAGGTAAAACCAAAAAATTTATTCTTTTTTTTATTTCTTTTTTTATATATAAAAAAGCTACCAAAACTAAATTAACTGAATAAACAACTACAAAAAAATATAAAAATTGTTATCAAAAAGTAAAACCCAAATTGTATATAATTTAAAATAATGGGTTCAAATGATAAAAATGTAAACAAAATATCTTTATTTTATAAGAATTTAATACAAGTCATTTTTAACAGCTAAGACAGTGGGATTTAGTTCATCATTAAAGATTAAAATGATTCAAATTCATCGTCCTGCTCATCGTTGTTAGATCACACTATTTACATCAGATAAATAAGATCCTGTCAGAAAAATGTCTGTTTCTCTGGGTATCCAGACAACAAACCAGCAGAGCCACCCAAAACCCAAACCTGTTAACCAGAATTCAACTGAATAAAATTCAACTTATAGTATTAATATGAATTTATTGAGAAGGCTTGAGAGGAGCAAATACAGGAGATGAAGTAATGATGATAAAGAGCAGAGTTTATTAAATAATCTTAGTTGTGTATAACTAGGTCTGACCACAATAAATCCAACAAGTGTTATTATACCACAAGCAACAGCAATGAAAATTTACTGCTTCACAACATTGTCCAGAGACAACACAGACCTTGAAATGGAGACATTCTGCTTATCTCTTTCCAATGAAAACAAGTGTCTTAAGTCATAAGATTCTAACAATATGGAAAAAAGAAAAAATAATGCAATAAAGCAATAATTATATGAAAACAGTAATAAGAAAATATAAACATATTAAAATAACAAAAATTAATTAATAATAATGAAATCATTAACCAATAATCAATAAAATGATGTAATGATAATTAAACAAATGACCAACGATCATTTAATTAACTAAAATAATTAAATGAGGAATAAATTAGTGAAAAAAAACAACAACACAAATGAATGGTTGCTTTCTTGAAGCAACACACATAGGTTTGCAACAAGGGCTCTTGGTAACACTTAATAATAACTACACACTATAAATCATTTATTAAGCATTAGCAAATAGTGAATTCATTTTCTGTTAAGCATTAACTACATTAATAAATGTAAGTAAGCAGTTTATAACAGCAGATACAAATGCTCTATTCTTGACTTATAAGCACTTATATATTGTGTTTAATAATTGTACTTTCAAACTTGGTTAATGATTTATTTTTCATTACTAAATTAAGTATCGCATTATTTACAAACCATTTGTATTTAAGAATAGCTGAGGGTTTTAGGATCATTCACAATGAGTTAGTAAATGATTAATAAACTATTGAAATCAACATTTATATATCCTATTAATCAGGCATATAGTAATGGTTACAATGTATGGTAATAAATGCTTTATTAACTCAACTTTATGTAGTTTTGTGACCTAATCTAAATTAAGGACTATTTATGCTTTATAAATCCCTTATAAACAACAAATAAAGGCTCAGTTCAATTCTAACCAGGAAAAGTGACGTTATTCATTCCTATTCATTTAAAGATACACACATGAAACTGTACTTCAAATAAAAATAAATCTTTGCAACCTTACCTAAAATAAAATCACTATAGAGTTTAAACATTGCATCTTACTATATTGTTACATTATTATATTGTTGTTGTTGTTTTATCCAGTTTTATGTCGTATTTTGACACTCCTGTTATTCAGCAATGTTTAAACTTTACAGTAATTTTACTTTTTAAATAAGATCGCAAGGATTGTTGTTCATTTGATTCTGAGCCTTTATTTGTCATTTAAAAGGGATTTATAAAGCGTAAATAGTCCTCACTTTAGATTAGGTCACAAAACTGCATGAAGTTGAATTAATAAAGCATTTATTAACATATTAGTTAACTATTAGTATATGCCTGAATAATAAGATATATAAATGTTGATTTCAATAGTTTATTAATCATTTACAAACTCATTCTGAATGATCCTAAAACCCCTCAGCTACTCTTAAATACAACTGGTTTGTAAATGATGCAATACTTAATTTAGTAATGAAATATAAATCATTAAAGTATGAAATTACAATTATTAAGCACAATATATAGGTGCTAATAAGTCAAGAATAGAGCATTTGTAGCTGCCGTTATAAACTGCTTACTAACATTTATTAATGCAGAGTTATTGCCTTACAGATAATGAACTCACTAGATGCTAATGCTTAGTAAATGATTCATAATGTGTAGTTATTAGGGATGTAACAATATTGTAAATACCGTCATACCGCAATAGTAATTTTTTTCAATATTACCGTAGGCACATAACTCAATAAAACTATATTTCTGAGAAAAGTTTGCTTAGGCGAATGAAGCGAACGGGAGGTACACGCCTAGGCGTGGCCATCATTCTTTGCAGTCTGTTGTCACTACAGATCCAGTAATGCGGAAATGAAGTGTGTTGCTAGTAGCGGGGAAGAAAAAGAGCTGGAAATGATCAAACCTAAAGCGGGTTTTAAATCGGATGTGTGGAAGCATTTCGGTTTCTTTCTAAAAAGATACGAAAAAGGAGAAAAGGTGACAAAGAAAAAAACAATATGCAGGCACTGCCAGAATGTGGTGAAATATAAGTCGGGGAATACGACTAAAAACAGTCATGGGGACTGCAGAACACAGCACACTTGTTAGATTGATGCAGGCTTGTACTGCAAAGAGACCTTTATCTCTATCTCACTCATGGCTTGTCCTCTCAAGTGGTGGAAAGATAATGCACAACGTTACCCACTGCTGTCAACCTTGGCTAAATCATATCTCTCTGTCCCAGAAACCTCAGTCCCAATTGAGAGGGGTTTTTTTTGTTGCAGGGGACATGCTCAGAGAATCCAGCTTTTACCAGATTATAGTTATATAATTTTGCTTAAAAAAACCATCTCTATCTAAGTGAGTGAATGATTAAATGTTGAATGTGATGAGTTTTCAACAATACTAAATTGAACTCTATTATTTTTTATATAGTTTAATAGTTTTTTGTTATTAAAATTGAAAAATTGAAGTTCCTGTTTCGAAACTTACAGATAGATGGCTAATTTGTATGTCATTGATATGTTCAGTGCTAAGGTAAATAAACACTTTTGGCACTTTTTTCGAGTCTCTTCATTAGTTTTGTTTTTCCTGTAAATTATTCAATAAATACCGTACCGTGCCATTCAAACCGAGGTATTATCGTACCGTGAAATTCGGATACCGTTACATCCCTAGTAGTTATTATAAAGTGTTAACGGACTCCTTAGTTAGATTCTTCATTGTGACGCAATTTTTTAAAAATTTGTAAACATATATATATATATATGTATATGTATATACACACACACACATAATATATATATATATATATATATATATATATATATATATATATATATAGAGTGTGTGTGTATGTGTATATATATATATATATATATATATATATATATATATATATATATGTGTGTGTGTGTGAGAGAGATA